CCCCGCGGGTGAAGGACGCCTGGGCTGGACCCCTTGGCCTTGCTCTGCCTCTCACGGGAGGTGTGGGTGGGGACACAGGTGACTTCCTGATGTGCCCCTGAATTTCTCCAGCAGACCCAGCGCAGGCAGGGCCGAGGGCTGCTTCACGCGGCTGCCTGCCACTTGTCAGGAAGGTGATGATCACTGTCACAAAAAGCCGTGGCCCTGGAACGGCACTTTGCGCTTTATGGGCTCCTTTACTTTATGGGGTTCGCTGACATCCTCTGCCTGTGCCTGCAGAGCCGGCCTGCGGAGGGGGCAGGGGCAGCCAGACGCCCCGATTCCCTCCCAGTCCACCTTTCACCATGTGGGTGTCTCTGTGCTTCTGGGTAGTGGGGCCCCTCGCCTGTTGGGCCCTCGGTGCCTCACGGAGCACATCTGCTCCCTTCTCCAGTGACAGCCCCTTCAAGTGTTGAAGACAGGAGGCTAACGCACCTCAGTGGTCTCCTCCACCATTTCTGGAGACGCTCCACCACTTGTGGTTGCCCTTTCCACAAGATCACAGGACACCTGCTTCTCAGCAGGGGCGTGGAGGTCACAGAGCTGGGGCCACTTGCTGGGAGCTGGTCTCCTCCTTCACACCAGCGTTTCACAGCCTCTTATCAGAGGCCTGAGGTCTCCTCAGACCTTCTGCTCTGTCACCATTAGCATGTCCCATCCACTGCTCCCAAGCCCTTCATCTCAGAAGGACTGTCCCATTGTGTCCCATACTGTCTAATTCAGACTGTCTGGTTCAAAGCCTCCCATTTGCATCTGGAGACTGTGAGGCCCAGAGAAGGCTGCAGAGGTTCTCAAGGCTGCACAGCACAGGAGGCAGATCTTGAGTCTCCGATCCCAGTGCACCCTGATCCAGGGACTGTCAGGGGCAGGGGTGTGCTGGGGTGTCTCTTAGGGCTGCTTAAGGGACTCAGGGTGTATCAAAAACTGTGCCTGTGCTCCACCACGGTGGGGGAGATTTTGTGAACACAGATTTTATGGGGCTGGGCAGGTGATGGGAGTCAGGGACAGGGGCGCCTGGGCATTTGCTAGCCAGTCTGGGAGCCTCTGCTTGCTGCCCATCAGCTCACTGGGCAGCAAGGCCTCCACTGCCCGCCTGTGCTCGGGAGCTGGCTTCCTTCCCTGGGCTTTGTGGGGGGGGAGATTTGGGGAACAGCTGGGACAGGGCGCTGGGCTGGACTTAGTGGGGAGAGGCAGACTTGGGGCGTGCTTCAGGTTTGAGAGAGCTCTTAGACTGAGTCCAGGCCGCTTCCCTGCACCTCCCCTGTCCCAGGCCAGGGGTTCTGCAGTTGACGTTGGCCTGGGCCCCCTCCCTGGAATGTCTGTGACGAGATCCTGGGAAAGCTGCCAGCCTGCGCCTAGGATGGGGAGCAGGAGGTGAGGCGGCAGACTGAGAGGGACTTACCACCCTCCTTGTGGGGTGGGGAGCACTGAGGGAGGCCCCCCTCCCACCCCAGGCTGAGGCTCCTAGAACCCGCCGCCTGGTTCCTAGGGGCTTGCACCAGGGCCTGCTGGGCTCGGTCCCCTCCTGCTCCGTGCTTTGCCCTCTGGACCTTTATAACCTGGGTTTCCACGGCCACCCCCTCCTGCCTCCTCTCTGGGTCTCTTTGAATTTCAAAGCAGTCTTACTCTTCAGTCAGCCTGAGTGCACAGTGTCACCACCTTTTCTTTCTGAACTACTGGACAGTTAGTTGCTGACACATGGCCCCCCACCCACTCCCCACATACTTTCCTGAGTTTTCTGTAAGGACTCCTACCTAATCCCACACAGCCACCAAAATCAGGAGACTGGCATTGATGCGTTACTGTTGTCTGATCCTCAGGCTCCCTGGAAGTTGCCCCACGATGTCCTTTATGGGCATCCAAAGACTCCAGTTCAGAATGTGCCCTTGTGTCTGGTTGTCACTCGTCCAGTCTCCTCCAGCCCGGGAATCTCTGTCTGCCTTGATATTTATGACCTCACCACACTTGAAGATTCCAGGCCATTTAATTTGAAGACTGTGCCTCAGTCTGTGTTGGCCTGATGTTTCCTCCTGATTAGATTCAGGTTGTGGCTTTTTGGCAGGGATAAGGGAGAAGTGATGTTCTGCTCTGTCACCTGCTCCGAGGCCCGTGACTTCCATTTGTCCCTTCGCTGGGAATGGGAACTTTGATCACTTGATGAAAGCGGAGCCTGCCAGGAAAAGTTACGCCCCCGCCCCCCCCGCCCCCCGTATAATTTATGACTATGAGGTGGAAAGTGCCTTAAGACTAGGTAAATATCCTATTTCTCATCAAACATCCAATCACTCATTCATTTGTTTGTACCACAATGGGCTCATTGAAGCCTTCACTATCATTATGTATTTGGATGCTCTGATCTTTGCAGATTTGGTTGTTGGCAGCTCCCGTGTCCTTTTGTCCGTCTGTCCCTCTGTGGTCCTCTGGGTCCCTCTGGGTCTCGGTGTCTTCATCTACTCATGCTCCTGTGTGCTGTCCTGTCTCTGTCTTTATCTTGGTCTTCTTTCCCCCTCGTCTGTCTCTATTACCCCCACCGCCTGGTTCTCTCTGTCTCTCTCACTCTCTCTGACTCCGTTTCTCTCTGCCTCTTTGCCTTTCTGGCTTCTGTCTTGGACTCTGTCTCATTTTATCTGATTTTCTTACTTTTTTTTATGCTCTCTTTCCCCCAGGACTCCCTTCTACAGTGAACTCCTTGCCCCTGCAGGAAAAGGCAGAGTTGGGGTAGACACTAGGGGAGTGCCTGGGGCAGGAGTCTCTCCCTGGGAATCCTCTGACCTGGGAGCTCCCCCAGCCTGGGCCTGGGCTGGGACCCCAGAGTGCGCCCGTCTATGAGAGGTTTTGCAATTCAGTGTGTTTCCTTGCATGGTTACAAAGACGGATAAAACCTGGGTGCAGTGGCACACACCTGTGATCCAAAACACCCAGGAGGCCGAGGCAGGAGGTTCACAAGTTCAAGGCCAACCTGGGCAACTTAGCAAGGCTCTGTCTAAAAACAAAATTTTTTTAAAAGGGCTGGGGGAGCTGGACGTGGTGGCACATGCCTGTAATCCCAGTGATTTGGGAGACTGAGGCAGGAGGATCATGAGTTCAAAGCCAGCCTCAGCAACTTAGCAAGGCCCTAAGTAACTTAGCAAGATTCTTGTCTTTAAATAAAAAATAAAAAGGGCTGGGGATGTGGCTCAGTGGTAGAGCACCCCCTGGTTGTGCAATCCTCAGTACAAACACAAACAAACAAACAACAACAAAACAAAAGTCAACAAGGCGCTTGAGGGGTGTGGTGCTGTGGCCCGTGGAAGGGGAGAGTGGTTAGTGGCCAAGGACTTCTGGCAAGTCAGACAGAGAGGAGGAGTCGAACCACCTGTCTTCCCTCTTCTCACGTGCTTGGCAGTGCAGTTTAAAATAGGAATTTTAACATTTTCATAGGCTGGAGTGTAGCTCAGAGGCAGAGCGTGTGCTTAGCATGCACAAGGTCCTGGGGTCAATCCCAGACTGCCCAAGAGACAAACAGACAAAATTGTGGTGCGTGTTTTCATAATGCAGAGAATAGGGAGTAAAATAAAGATAGAAAAGGCCCCCTGCACTGGGCGTGTGGGGAGGGGCAGGGAGTGAGAGAGGGGAGGAACCTACCTGCTGGGACAGGGGTGGCACATCGAGGACCATCAGCAGTGAAATGATGGGTGCCTGCTGTATCTGTAAGAGCAATACCACAGAGCATGGGCCCAGAAGGGACATGGGACAATGCGGGGGCATCTCACAGATTAGTGTTGCATGAGGGAAGCCGGACACAGAGTACGCGCAGCGCCACGTCAGGAAGTTAAAACCCTGGCAAAATAGTACTCAGCTCCAGGGCGTGTACCTCTCATCCCAGAGACCAGGGAGGCTGAGGCAGGGAGATCACAAGTTGGAGGCCAGCCTCAGCAACTCAGCAAGACTCTGTCTCAAAATAAAAATAAATAAATAAAAAGGACTGGGGCTTCAACACAGTGGCAGAGTGTCCCTGAGTTTGATCCCCAGTACTGCATCACACACATACACACACACACACACACACACACACACACACCCCAAACACCACCACCAAAGACCACCATCACCAACGAAACCCCCCCAAACCAAAAAGACACGCAATGATTCTTTGGAGAGAAATCCCAGTGAGATTTATGTAGGGGAGGCGTTGACTGGGAGGGGTCAACAGTGAGCCTTCTGGAGCTTGGCTATATGGGGTGCACATGCATCAAGTTGTATTTAGCAAAACCTTTCTGTTTTGAGGTGTTGAGGATGGAACCCAGGGCCTTCCACACACCAGACAACCTCTGAGCCACAGCTCAGCTCAATTAAGCAGGACATTTAAACTCTTTAATTTTTATTTATTTATTTATTTATTTATTTATTTGTTTGTTTATTTATTTATTTATTTTGGGGTACCAGGGATTCAACGCAGGGGCACTCGACCACTGAGCCACACCCCCAGCCCTATTTTGTATTTTATTTAGAGACAGGGTCTCACTGAGTTGCTTATTGCTTTGCTTCTGCTGAGGCTGGCTTTGAACTTGTGATCCTCCTGCCTCGGCCTCCCAAGCTGCTGGGATTACAGGCGTGCACCACCGTGCCCAAGTTGCTCTTGCACGTTTAACTCTTGCACTACACTGTGGGAAAGCCATGCCCCAAGAATAAAGTAAATAAAAAAAAAATGAGTAGTAAGACACAGAGGGGTCTGTGATCCCAGGGTTCTCAGGTCTTCAGGTGCTGTCTGAACCCTCACCATGGACTCCATGCAAGTCCTTGAGCCCAGGGTGAGTGTCTGGTCACCTCACACTGTTTACAGTCCCTGGGCACCTCCTCCCTCCTTCCGCCCACCAAGGGGCTTTGGCCTTCCCTCCTCCCTCCTCCTGCCTACTCATTCTCCAGAGCCCCAGGACCCCAGCCTTCACCCCAGGCTGACCCCTGTGCCTCTCCTTCCACAGCCAGAGGACCTGGAGGCCCCCAAGACCCACCACTTCAAGGTGAAGACTTTCAAGAAGGTGAAGCCCTGTGGTATCTGCCGACAGGCCATCACCCGGGAGGGCTGCACCTGCAAAGGTGAGCGGCTGGCTGACTGGAGCCTGGGGAGCGGGTCACCAGGGGAAGCCGTGGCCCAGCCCAGCTCAGACTGGAACTCTGCTGGCTCGTGTCCTTGGGTTCTGAGCGGCTGCCTGATTCTCATGTCGGGAAGGAGGCTGGGCTCCCTGGGTGGTGGTGTGTAGGAGCATGTGGGTGGCCCGTGGCAGGTAGTGGGTGGCATGGGCGTGGCAGGTGGCTTGAGGATGAGCCGGGTAACCTTGTGCATGGTGTGAACATCTGGCTGGCACCCCGAGGCATGCAAATGGTGTGGGGAAGGGCGTGTGCGTAGCATGTAGCGTGTGGTGGTGTGCGGATGGCTCGTTGGCTGGGGTGTGGGAACCGTGGGGAGGGTGTGGGGAAGGCACCTGGAGGTCACGTGGCTGACACCTGGTGGCCAGGTGGCTGAGGTGTCGCATGGCCTGTGGAAGCCATGTGGGTGGTGTGTGGAAGGTGTGTGGGTGGCGTGTGGCTGGCCCTGGGAGTACTGCAAAGAAGCCAAGCCACATTCCTCCCCTTGTGGCAGCTTGGGGTGCCTTAAGAGGCCTCAGATCAGAGTCAGGGGAGGACGGGCTGGCTGCTGGGCTTTCCAATCCCTATTCTCACATGTTCCTGGAAAGGCCGGGGTGTGGCCATCACTGCTCCAGAGAAGTTGGTGTCCTGTCCCAGATCATGGGGGAGTCACAGGAGCCCCTGCAGCAGGCTCTGGACCCATGCCACCCTCCAACCCGTGGCCCTGCCAGATGCCTTCCTCTCCTCGCCCCACATTCCATCAATCACTAGGGCCCCGAAGGCAGCTAGTCGCTGAGCTCCCCCACAGCATCCCTGGCTCGGCTGCCAGCGTCTCCCCTGGATGGCCAAGGGCAGCCACCATTTCCTGAGCACTCTCTCGAATCCAGCTCTGCACCAGCTTCCCGTGGGACTTGAAAGTATAAATCTAGCATGTTCCTGCCCTGGCTAAAGCTGGGGGGCTTCCGCTACCCTTAAGATGGAGCCCAGCCTTCCCACGATGTGGGGTCTGACAGAATCAGCCCTCCCAGCTCCCTGCCCCGCGTCCCCGCCCCCAACCGCATCCTCAAACCAGCTGCGCCCCACACAGTTCCCAAGAAGGCCACTGTCTCAACTCTGCCTGTGGGCAGGGCTCTCTCTTGCCCTGGAGTCTTGCTCATGTGGTCCTCCCCAGTGGCCTCTCTTCCTGCTGCCTCGCTCCATGCTGCAGTCCGAGCTGGGCTGGGGAGAGGATTTCTGCAGCACTTACTGAGCACCACGTACTCACCGGCCTGACCTCATCGCTGCTCACAGCCTCTGGCAGGCCCCGGTGCCATCCCCATCTTACAGATGAGGCGACTGAGGCTGGTGGTGGTCACATCTCTTGCCCAGGCTGGCAGGGTGACACTGGGCTTTTCAGGTGTCTCTGGGTGTTGGAGGCAGGATTGTGTGGCTGGAAATGTGCAATGGACTGAGCCTATAGGACTGTGTGTGTGGATGGCCTTCCAGGCCGGTCTGCCATGGGTGAAAGGCAGAGGGTTATTTATGGTCCTTAATTGAAGTCAGGCTGGGGGACACCCGGCAGGAGGTGAGGACCCACAGAACTTCTGCAATACCAAAATCAGCCACATGGTGTCGCCCTCCTCCCAAGAGGTCTGCCTGGGACTTGCTGGTGGCTTAGGGTGCCAGCCAGAGATGTGAAGAGGTGCTGCGAGGGAGGGGTTTGCATTTTGTCTAATAACAGTCCCCACCCCACCCACCTGAGGCTGCATGAGCTAGTTTCCCCTCCCCCTCCCCTCCAGCCTCTCCCTTCCCCTCACCCAGGAACTTCCAGAGCTGCTGGGAGAGGAGGCAGCTGGGGGGTAGGGCTAGAAGGAAGTCCTAGGGACACTCACTGTGTCACCTCAGGCATATCTATGGCTACAGTCTTCCTTGGCTACTCCCTACCTTGGTCCTGGGTTTCCCAGCTGACCTGGCCTGAGTGCTTGGGTTGACAGGGGATCTTGACTTATGTAAAGCTCCCAAGGTGAGCAAGAGGTGGCACCCTAATCTCACCCGGATCCCAGCCTGGCCCTGCCGGTGTGGACCAGAGAGGAGGGTGGATGGCCAAGCTTGTTTGGCAGCCCCACTGGGCACCGGTGGAGAGTGGGGGGTTGGCCAGAAAGAGGGGAGGAAGCCAGGGCTATACTCCAGAGCACCGCTAGGTGGCAGGGCTGAGCTACCAAAGGCCCAGGGGCCAGTCCCACAAAGAGGGGAGACTCCTGGCACCAGAGCCCTATGTCACCCTCTGCAGGCCTGGCCTCACGGGTGGCAAAGGAGGAAGTGAATCCACCCTCTGTGCTTTGGAACCTGGAGATTGTGGTGGCACTAGGTGAATAGATTGTTTTATCCATCACCCATCCATCCAATCACCCACCCACCCACCCATCTATCCTCTACCCAGTCATCTCACCCATCCATCCCATCATGCGCCCTCCCACCCACCCACCCATCCAGGGCCACCAGAAAGAGTTGTACAGGTTGTTCCTGGGAGGACCAGGGTAGAGGAAGCCCCAGCCCACATTCTACTCAGAGCCCAGCTCAAAGGCTTCCTGAGCACTCTGGTCTCTCTGTCCTCAAGTCTGGCCTGAGCTAGGGCCAGCATCTAGATTAGGTGACGGGTGGGGTGGGGTGCAGAATATCAGGGCCCTGAATTCACAGTCTCCACAGGGCTTTCAGCACTGAGGGAGCTTCTGCTGGGGGTGACAGGCCCTGAGGAAGCCCCTGATCCGGGAGACTGGGGCAGCCACCTGCTTCCCCCTGGAGGCCCTGTCCTGTGGCTTTTCTCCCCACACCCGCCACCCATAGTAGGGCTGGACGCTGGAGGGAGTCAGGGGACCTGGAGTCCAGCCTGGTTCTAGGAGACTCTACGACAAGCAGGGTGGACAAGGAACTGAGGTGGACAGCTGTCCAGGTGTAGCAGGTGTGCAGGCAGAGAGGCGGCAGGGACCGGGAGCCTCTGACTTGGCGGGGCCGTGGCTGTGTGTGACGGGGTTAGTAGTGAGTCTCGTCCTGCGTCTCTCAGGGGCTGGTTATGGGTAGAACAATGAGGTTCTGTGTGTGAATAAGGGGGGCTAATGCTAGGGACCACGGCTCTGAGTGAAGGATACAGAGAGGGATGAGAGGACCGTGAGGGGTGGCCTGGACACCCTGTGTGACCTGGGATGAGTCACTTGTCATGGGAGATAAGGGAGCTGGGCTCAGGATTCTCTCTGAGGCCCAGGCAGTGGAAGGGCCTGGGAAGTTTCCTTGTGGGACTCTGTGAAAGCCGGAGAGCTCTTCAGTGAACCCTGCTACGTCACCCCTCCAGGCACCTGTGTGGCCACCTGACGCTCATAAGCAGAGCTGTCCCCTGGACCCGTACTGTGCCAGATGCTGGTGCCAAGAGCCAGCCACTGGCCATGGAAGACAGACACACAGCCCGTCCCAGGCTGTGGTGTCAGGCTGACCCAGTGTGCAGCAGGAAGGGTGGGCTGGCTCCTGAGGGCCGTGTGGGAGCTGCTTGGTCCAAACTGGCTTCCCACCAGGCCTCGGGGAGGGGCTCCAGGGGCTGGAGAACACGGGAGACCTCAGCGGGGGGCTGAGGGACTCAGAGCCTGGTTCAAAATCCTAGTTTCCCTCTAGGCTGAGACCCAGGGAAAGGACCGGAAGGCCGGCTCGGGAGCCCAAGGGCTGCCGTCTGGGCCTGGTCTGGGGCCCAGGCTTGGGCCACTTCCTTTCTCAGTGTAGAAGGGGGACAGTCACCTGACGCTTCCTTAAAGCAGGACACACCTGGGAAGACAACAGCTCCAGCCCACCCAGAGGATGGATTGGGGGGACCCTGGTCCTGGGAGCTCCTCTCCCTGTGTCACCGAGGATCCCCAACTCCCACCTTCTGTCTGAGGACCTTCGTGGAGCCACCAGAGGCTCCCGATAGGATGGAAAGCCCCGGGTCACTTTTTCTCTTTCTTTGTTTGGACTCTACTCATTTTTATCTATTTTCCCCCATGTTTTCATCAGTGCATGATAATTGTATAATTATCCCACACATCAGTGGAATTCGTTGTCACATATTCATCCACGTAACAATGCATTTGGTCACTGCCGGCCCCAGTGAAGACCTGGGTTGCTGGTCCTGGCTTCCCACTGTCCGGCTGGGTGACCTTGGGAGAGCTGCTTACCTCCCCGGGAACCGATTTCCCCCTTTTCTTTAAAATGAAGGGGCTGGAATAGACCAGAGGATCCGAACTGCATTCCAAAGGAGCCGTCAGGTGCTTGGGGGTACTCTAGGGGCCCTAGAGGTGAGGAAAGGGAAGGCTTGATCAGGGCTCTGGAATCCCTGCCCCTTTGAACCAGAAAAGCTCTTGTTTGAGGAGTTAAATATAGGAGTAGGTGGGACGATGTGACAGTCTTTCACAGGGCTTAGAAGAAGGCTCTGGATTCCATCCCAGCTCTGGCCCTATTAGTGAGACCTTGGGCAGACTGCTTCCTTGCTTGGAGCCTGTTGACTCACTTTTAAAATGGGAGAAATAGCAATATCCCCCTCCTGGTGTGACTGCAGAGGTTAAATGAGATACTACGCAGAGTGCTCAGATCAGAGCCCAGTCCCTGGGATTAACAGATCTATTCCATCCTAACCAGCGTCACTCGGATTCCAAACCGTCTGCATGAACAGTTTAGCTTTAAAATGAAACAGAAAACCACTGGGCGGGATGATCTCGAAGGTTTCTTTGTTCCTACTTTGGAACCACACGGTGCCCCCTGACTACCCCTCCCCTGACTACCCCGAGACACCTTGTATTAGTCAGAATTCTCTGGAAAAGCAGAACCAACTGGATGTGGGGGG